CTTCTACGGTATTCTTGACAGTCTAATACTTGCTTTTTTTTTTTAGGTTGCAAATGCGAATGTATCTTTGCAACGTCTTGAGGAGCTTTTCTTAGCAGAAGAGAGTTCTTGCACCAAATCCACCTCTTCACCCAGGGCTTCCAGCCATCTCAATTAAGAATGGAAGCTTTTCATGGGATTTAAAGTCATTTAAAGTTTTATTCTTGTTTCTATACTTGTCAAATATCAGTCAATAAATTAGTTCACCTCATGCTCGTAAGAGAATGAAAAGACAGAAAGCAAGTTCTCTGTTAGATATTAGTTCTGTCTCAAGGGATCGACTGTAAAATTATAGCTTTGGATCTACGTCGAAACGGTTCTTCGACAATAGAAATAGCAGCTTAGTGATTACCATGCACTACTTCCAGCTTTATAGTACGGTGTATGAAGATCTCATGCATTTATTTTCCTGACATTCCATATTGCAATAAATCCCCTGGATAAAGATAATTTTGAGATTTTTTTTCCAGGCGAGAATCCAAATTATCAAATATCAATCTATATTGCCAGTTGGCAGCTTAGTTGCAATTGTTGGTGGAACTGGGAAGGAAAAACATCGCTTATATCAGCTATTCTAGGGGAGCTGCCTCCAGATGTAAATTCCAGTGTTGTTATAAGAGGGACTGTTGCTTATGTTCCCCAAGTTTCATGGATTTTTAATGCTACTGTAATTGCAGTGGTTGCTTATGTTCTTCATTGATGTTTACTTTCACTTCAAATTTTAGTCATTCCCAGTTTTTAAAAAAAAGAAAGTTTCCTTTCTACTAGCATGCTTGCTTAAGACCATCAAAATTTAATTTTACAGGTTCGTGACAACATATTGTTTGGATCTAGCTTTCAACCAGAACGGTATTGGGAGATAATTGATTTGACAGCTCTACAGCAGATCTTGCACCTTCCTGTAAAGTGGATCTAATATATCTTTGTAATTTATTTTTCTATTATGGACTGTCTCCTCACTATTTAACTATTTTACATGTCCTTAAGGATCATGATCTCACTGAGATTGGCGAAAGAGGTGTGAATATAAGTGGTGGGCAAAACAGAGGTTGCCATTGCTAGAGCTGTCTACTCCAATTCAGATGTGTACATATTTGATGACCCTTTAAGTGCTCTTGATGCTCATATTGCACAACAGGTAAATTGTCTACAGAGATCATAATACATTTCACATACGAGGTTTGCATCAAACTGACATGCTTTTAGTGCTTGTATTGGATTGGGAAAACAAAGTTTTGTGGCTTAAGTTTTAGGATTAACTGAGGTAAAGAGGTGGAGATTTCTTAAGCATTTTGATATTTGTGTGGCGTTTTTATTGTTTTAGAAGTTTAGCTGAAGAAATCTGATTCCCAAAGTGATGAAATAAGAGCAACAGTGCTGAAAACTTATACGAGCTCGTTATTATAATGCAAAGATCACATATGTACATAGACTCCTAAGGATCCAATAGGAAACTACATATCTAAACTCTTTTCCAGCATGATGATGAGGCTTTGATAAAAACTTGGCTTAAATATCTCCAAAGCCATAAAAATGGCATCAGGAAACCCAAAAGACAAAGAACATAATCAGAAGTATTTCTTGTATCTTGTTTCTACAATTCTGGTTTATTCATAATGTATTTCTAGCCTTTCGGATTTGATCATTCAACTTTCTTTGAATTCTACGTAGATTTCTTGAGGCTATGCTATATCGGTCTAATCTAAAGTCATTTGCTGCAGGTTTTTAACAGTGTATTAAGGGAGAGTTACGCGGAAAAACCAGAATACTTGTCACAACCAGCTACATTTTCTTCCACATGTCGACTACATCCTTCTTGTCTCTAATGGTTTAATTAAAGAACAGGGTAACTTGAGGAATCTCCAAAAAAGGAAAGATATTTCAGAAATTGATGGAAAATGCTGGGAAAATGGAGAAACAAAGAGATGAAAAGGCAGATGGAAAATACATTGATCGGGAAGAACTAAAACCAACTTCAAATAAGATGGCTGAGACAAATGATATGCTAAAAGATGAAAATGCTGCAAACAAGAGGAATGGAAGGAAAGCTACACTTGTAAAGCAGAAGAAAGGGAAACAGGTGTTGTCAGCTGGAATGTTCTCGTGAGGTAATATAGGATAACACTATATACTCATCAGTACAAACCTAATGCTTTTCATATGAACCTTCATTTTACTAATTGTTTCCTTTTTCCTATAGATAATCACTAGGCAAGCTATGTTCTCCTTGGACAACTTTCTTTGGTTTATGGTGTTTGTCTCTCCATACCACTCAAACATCAAATAAGAATGTCTTTGAAACCTAGAAATTCTAGTGCTGAAACTTAAACTGGTAGATAAATGGTTACTCAATGTAATATAGTAAACACAGTATATTATTCACCTAATCTTTACCAATTGGAGTTTATGGCATTGCATTTTATTCCTTCTATAGCATTTTTTTTTTGTTCAACATTTTATTTATCAGGTGATGTTATCCCAGATCTATTAAGTATAGGGTTTTCTATGGTCTTATCACATTCTAATAGGCTTTTTCACTTATTTATATTGATTTGAGGTTTCCCACCTGTAGGCCCTTGTTAAGCTAAACATTTGTGTTTTCTCTCATCTATTACCTATTAGAATTCTCTTGATTTTGTATTCAAGTTGAGTCTCTCCATCTATTGCCGTTTGGTTTTAGGTTAGATGCTTAACATAATTCACATGTGAAACATTCATATGTAAACCCTAAAGCAGCTGCATTTTACATCAATTCTGCTTGAGATAGGCATAGAACCTATTTCTTTACTTTTTTGCAGGTATAAGGATGCTCTAGGAGGCCTATGGGTGGTTATGATACTTTTTACATTCTACTTTTCAACTGAAGTTCTTAGAATTTTAAGCAGCTTGTGGTTACGCTTTTGGACAGATCAAAATGCTTCAAGAGTTATAAGTCTGGACTTTATGTTTTTATTTATGCTCTTCTAGGATTTAGTCAGGTTGGTGCATCTTTATCTTCATCTAATAGGGTTTTTGTATTGATATATTTATACTAGCTGCTAATCTTGTCATGAAGCTTATAATGTAGCGTAGTTTTCAATATGATATTGAAGGAACAAAGTTATCCTTTTGAATGGATAGTAATTAGTAGTATATATCTTTTATACCATAAAATTGCTATGGATGCAGTGTTATAGAGAGCAAGTTCCATGTAGATAAAGCTTAAAAGCATAACATGTTTAACGTTTTCTCTACTCTGTGCTTGTCTGCTTGCCACGACTGAAAAAATCATTCCTACAGTGCTATCTGTTTCATCTTTTACTTTAGTGCTTATTATAAGGAGTTACTAACCATTTTACTGGATTCAGGTAACTATGACGCTGACTAAGTCCTTTTGGTTGATTACTTCAAGTCTTGGTGCAGCCAGAAGATTGCACGATATGATGCTAAATTCCATCCTAAGAGCTCCAATGTTATTTTTCCAGACCAATCCAACTGGGCGAGTAATCAATAGGTTTTCGAGAGATCTAGGTGATATAGATAGTAATGTTGCCAATTCTATGGATGTGTTTATGACTCGGGTGTGCAACTTCTCTCAACCTTCACAATCATAAGCGTTGTGAGCATATTTTCATTGTGGGCCATACTGCCACTTTTCATCTTGTTTTATGCAACCTATATATATTATCAGGTATGATCCATATTTGTCAGTCACATATGGTGGAATTGTAAGGAAAAAAATACTTTCTAATTATCGAATGATCTAATACCTGACTTGGGGTGTGTGCCTGATATAGGTGTGCTCAATATTTTCTAAGCTTTTCCATATATTTGGAGGATCAAACCTCATAACATGTTCAAGTATTTGTCAGACTCTGGTACTAGGAAAATGAAAGCCCCGATAACATAGGTTTAGAGTTGAGACTTCTTTCCAGCATCATGGGTTTCACTCAATTTGCGACCTATGAGTGCCAGCTTATTTCCTAGTTCGGTATTTAATATAAGAAAGTATTCTACCTTGGTTTCTAGACATGTAAATACCCTTTGCTGATTATTGTCTTGTTATCTTCACAAGTTTCAATATTGATTTTGCAGAGCACATCTCGTGAAGTGAAACGCTTGGATTCTATCACCAGATCTCCTGTTTATGCGCAAGTTGGAGAAGCTTTCAATGGTTTCTCATCCATTCGCGCTTACAGAGCTTATGATCGGATTGCCAGTGTTATTGGGAGGTCCATGGACAATAATATTAGATTCACGCTTTTAAATACTAGTTTAAATCGTTGGATGTCATTGAGATTAGAAACACTAGGAGGCCTCATAATTTGGATAATAGCAACCACTGCGGTTCTGCAGAATGGAAGAGCAGAGAACAAGGCAACATTTGCATCAACAATGGGTCTACTTCTCACTTATTCGTTAAATATCACTAGGCTATTGAATGATGTTTTACGACGAGCTAGCCGTGCTGAGAATAGCTAAATGCAGTGGAACGTGTGGGTACATATATCATTTGCCTTCAGAGGCTTCAGATGTAATTGAGAGCCACCGTCCTCCACCTGATTGGCCTTCAGCTGGATTTATTCAATTTGAGGATGTGTCCTACGGTATAGGCCTGAACTACCACCTGTCTTGTATGGATTGTCCTTTACTGTTGCTCCAAGTGAAAGGGTAGGAATAGTTGGAAGAACTGGTGCTGGGAAATCCAGCATGCTGAATGCACTATTTCGGATTGTGGAACTTGAAAAGGAAGAATCTTGATTGATGGTTGTGATCTTGCCGGATTTGGACTGACAATTTGCGAAAGGCTCTTGGTATTACCTCAATCTCCATTCTTTTTTCAGGTACTCACTTTTAACTTTTGATTATACTTCATTAACTGACAGATTTGATTTATTCCACATTTTTTTTGTAAAGTTTCTCATTGTAATGGTCATTTTTAATTTATCCCAAGTTTTTCTGCTAACATTTGCTTGAACTTCATGTCTCTTAAGTTTCTTATGGTATTTAGATTAAGTTTACTTTATCATGTGTAACCATTTGTGAATGGAGAAACTTATATTTGTATATATTATTCAAAATAAGAGAATGAAGTGTTGAAATAATTCTGCATTGTATGTCTGTCTCAAGGTTTTGGAAGGTGGGGAGAATTTTAGTGTTGGGCAGAGGCAATTGCTGTGCCTTTCTCGAGCATTGTTGCAAAGGTCAAAGATTCTTATTCTCGACGAAGCAACTGCAGCAGTGGATGTTGAGACCGATGCTTATATCCAGAAAACCATTCGTGAAGAATTCAAATCTTGCACCATGCTAATTATTGCCCACAGACTAAATACCATCATCGACTGTGACCGGATTCTTGTACTTGATGCTGGTCAGGTGGGCTTTCCCACTTTCGAGGATAGTTCTTGTTTCTTTGCCTTTCTGCAGAATGTTTAATAGCCTTCTTACAAGTATATGATATCTGTGAGGCATGATGAACTCTGTTCTCGAATGACTTGGGCAATTATTTACTGGTGACTAGATTCTGATGTTGCTCTTTCAGGTTCTAGAACACAGTACCCCAAAGGAACTGCTGGCCAATAAAGAAAGAACATTCTCGAAAATGGTTCAGAGTACGGGTCCTGCAAATGCAGAATACTTGCATAGCTTAGTTTGAAGATGAGGTTGGGTACAAACATGCTACGCGGATAGATGGTCAAAAGTGATTCAAGCTTCATGCCTGTGTTGTTGCACAATTTGCCCTACCTGTCAGCCAATTCTTCTGAAAATGATCTTCAAAGACCTGATATTTGAGATATGAGTAATACGCTAAAGAAAATTGAAGCAGCAGTCATTACACTACATATTGATTCGAATAGAAAGCATTGTAGAAATTTCAATTTCTAGGCAAGATTCTTGACGATTTATTAAGATATTTCATGTTCAATAAATATGGATTTAATAGGAGTATCTGACATAGAAGTATGTAGTTAAGAGAGGTCCTGATTTTTGGCAAAATAAACCGCCTTAAATGAAAGACGTATATAACTCGAATTTTCTGCTGATAAACTTTAAAATCCCAAACACTTTCCCAAGTTTTATTCTCTTTTCAACATGAGGTTTTAGCAGCTAATTCATCGCCATCCAAGCGCCCGTTTTACTTGGGGTAAACTGATGGTGGTTAGTTTATTTTGATTTGTCTTTTCTAATCATGTTTAATATATTTTTAGAAAATCATAATTTATAGAAGTTTCGTTTACCTTATGTTGAAGTCATTAGAGACTTTGAGTTATCATTTGTTTTATATTTATTAAGATTTATCTTTAAAATTTGGTGGTATGTTGGACTATGTTAATTGCTACGTATTTAAATTTATAGTACGATTGACGATGAATTTTGTGCTTTGAAACTTTAAACTAATATAACATATGCAAATGTAGTATGTAGATGTACTAAGTAATATGTACTATCAACATGTATTTTTTTAAATTAGGAGTAAAATGTGAAAAAGAAATTTGTAATAGGTTACAGGTTAGCATGTGTAACTAAATCGTTAGTAACAATTAACCATTTCTTACGGTTAGGTTACGTTTAGCAAAATTCAATAACCATTATAAGGGTTAACCAGACTGTTTAGACTAAACGGTACAGTTTAACCGACCCAAGAACACCACTACATATAATATCCATCATTTGATTAACATGGAATCAAGATATAAAAACCGCTTTCTTCTTCTCCACAATTCAATTAGTTGTGATATATAATATCCATTATTCAATTAACACGGAATCAAGATATAATACCCATTGCATGTTCATAACCGTTTATCTAACTATGAAATAAACGGTCTCTCATAGTTAGACCCTTTTACGTCGATGTATTCAAATCATTCGCGGAGCAATCTGTCAAATTGATTCTCTTAATCTCCACGCCTACATCAGTATAACGTCTAGTTTAAAATAGAGACATGATGCTAGGCTTTTTGTAAGATGAAGCATGTATTCAAGGAAGATTTTGATTTTATTTTCTTCATACTTTTTGGATTTTCATTTTGGGTTGTGTTATCTTTGTTGTACCTTGCTTTTTATTTAATAAAGAATAGTTTTTTTAGAAAATTAATCAAATTTAATATTTGAATGTTATTTTGGTTATTTAGTATTTTTATTTGTTTTAAAGTTATTATATTTACTAATTGTTACTTCATAGTTTTTTTTTTTGAACCTTGAAACGATACTGAATTTTTGAAATAAAAGAAATACAACATTAACAATGCAATCAAATACGGAGAATATTATGGCTATGTCACAACAAAAAATCTCAAACATAAAACAAAATAAAAAGAAAATCCAAAGGCACAATAACAATCGAACTTCTTTGAATATGGCATCCATCGACCATAGTAACCCAATAATCGTCAATAGTATTTCTTTGTCTCTATCCAACTAGACACTTTAGAGATGATCATGGGCAAGCGAATAAAAGCAAACTTACATACTGCTTTGTAAAATATATCTGAATACATCGACAAACAATCACAAAGAGAACCTAATCACCGAAAGACCATCGACAATCTACATACTACATAACAATATATTTGCCTTTGAAACTTTGGTGGTATTTTGGACTATTGTTAATTGCTATGTGTTTAAATTTATACGATTGATGATGAATTTTGTATGTGTTGGAACTTTAAACTAATATACATATGCAAATGTATGTAGATGTACTAAGTAATATGACCTATCAATATGTATTTTTTAAACTAAGGAATAAAAATGTGGAAAAAAAAGTTTGTAATAGGTTAGAGGTTAACATGTGTAATTGAACCGTTAGTAGTTAACTGTTTCTTAACAGTTAGTTATGGTTAGCAAAATTCAATACCGTTATAGGGTTAACTAGACTGTTAGACTAACGGTACATTAACCGACCAAAGACACCCCTATATATAATATCCATCATTCGATTAACATGGAATCAAGATATAATATTCATATCATATTCATTAACCGTTTATCAAAATCTGTAACCGTAACCTTAATCTTAATCGTTAACCATCATTTTTAGCGGTTCGATTAACCAAAAACATTAAACATTAAACATTAATGTTTCGATTAACTAACATGTTAAAATAAAGGTTATGATTAACGGTTTTTTGAACACCCCTATCTTTTGGTATTATTTGACATGTAAGGATCTGATTTAAAAGTTATGGATAGTTTAACGATTCAATAAATTATTTTAATGTTTAGAGATCAATTTAAATTAACCTAAAATTTGGAGGCTTTTGATTCAAACGGTTTTTTGAACACCCCTATCTTTTGGTATTATTTGACATGTAAGGATCTGATTTAAAAGTTATGGATAGTTTAACGATTCAATTAAATTATTTTAATGTTTAGAGATCAATTTAAAATTAACCTAAAATTTGGAGGCTTTTGATTCAGTTATCCCAAACGAAAATTATTGCAGGCTGTGAGGTTCGAACCAACGCGCACTAATGTGCAGAAGATCTTAAGTCTTCCCCCTTAACCTCTCGGGCAAACCTGCTGTTCGAAAGTTTGTAGCTCAATCTAAAACTACTATGATTGCCACTTATGACAACAAGGCACAAACCTATTGCACCATTGAGCATGAACCCTTATCTCTTAGCTTACCGACACTCCTCTAACATTAACATTCTCTTAAAACTACAATGATGTTCAAAATAACTATTACCTCATAAATTTAAATGGGTAATAAATCAAAATTATAAAATCTTTCAAATTAAAATATTAATTGATTCTCAACGATCTGACTTGCCGATGTATTGATGTCACCCAATATATTAAATCAAAACTCATGATCTAATCATGTCAAATCATCAATAATAAAATGCAATACTAGATTTGTGAAATCATATCTAAATCAATCGATGGAGATTGTCTAAAGGTTGTTGTAATCTTCAAAAAAAAAGTTTGCTCTTGCCGTAAAAAACTCTAATGAGATAAGAGTATAAAAGTTAACATATTTCTTGGGGACCACTAGTTTCTTTAGATAAATGAATATTAAAATAATTTATAAGTATTTATAATTTTACCCCTCATCAAATTATAAATACAACTTATGATATCTACACTTTTATTTTCACGACACTTTAATAATTATGACACTTACAACATAATTGGTCACTTAATTTTGCGTTATACTTTACAATAGCATCATATTATACATATATGTCCCTAGTTTGATTTTAATCTAACAATCTCCCACGAGCAAATATGTTTCCTGAAAAATGTATAATCTTATGAGCTCAAAATTATATTATGTAATATGTTTTCGATAATAATCTCATCCATCAACTATATCCATATAAGATCAAAAGCAGCATGTCATGTCATCACGACTAGATCCATATATGATCACATATACAAATATAGTCGAATGGAATAGATCAATCGTGGAGTATAGCATGGAAACTACATGTAATGTGAACTAAATATGCTCTCTTTTTTTCAATTGGTCCTCTTTAAATTGGCCCTGAACTGGGGGAGGCACCCTTTACCCTAAATTTTTTGAGTACAAAAAAAAAACAGAAATGGTCCTTTAATATTAGTGAAATCAAATTTACCAAAACTAAAGTATGCATAAATCAAAATAAACTTATTTCTGCAAAATAACTTTCAAGTAAAGTAACTGAAATTGTGTCTATAACAAATAGGGATGGCAAAAAATCCTGAACCCGATGGGAAAAATCGAAACCGATTAAACAGGGATGGGACAATCGTTTATGCTAAACAGGGACGGGGGAAAACCGTTTATGTAAATGGGGACGGGGATGGGGATGGGATGGGGACGGGTTTTAACCCCGCCCTGATTACCTGATTACCCAGCCCGATACCAGGCCCGATAAAATTAAAATAATTATTATATATATATAATATTAATAATTTAATTTAATTTAAAATATATATATAATATTTATATATTTAATTTAATATATATACCGCCCGATACCCGTTTAAATACCGTTTATGCTAAACATGGATACTCGTTCCCTGCGGTTTTCCTCGATTACCCGATGGGATCCCGTTTAAATCCCCGCGGTTTTTAAGCGGGGATGGGTACGGATTTTTTAAACGGGGACGGGGGACCAATACCCGTCCGAACCCGGCCCGTTGCCATCCCTAATAACAAACGCGAGCATTTTAAAATTACAAAATCTCATTAAAACTAATATCCACAATATTACACCCATATGTAGTGTCATGAAAGATTTAGGTGGATATTCTCTTAGTAAGTGCACAATCATGAGTTTGTACCAATATGCTTTATAGACACTTAAACATTTTGAAATTTCTTTAACAACCAAAAACATATTGTCTATGTTGTTAGACTTTAAGGTGTTCTTGTTGTTTATGGAATAACAGACTGCAGTTTTTTGTCACAAAATAACTTAAATAGTCTTTCTATTCAATCCATAATTATAGTTCATGCAATAAAATTTTGCATCCATATTACAATAAATTGAAGTCTGTATACCTGATGATCTCTTACTTATCATACCTCTAATATGTGAACATGTAATATTTTCTCTATCATCTAGCGATTCATACTCAAATTGTTTAAATATTTTCTTAATAACCTAAAGTTAAAATCTATGCTGAATATGATAAACTTAAGTATACATTATGTTGAATTATGTTTC